AGTAGTAGTAGTAGTAGTAGCAGCAGTAGTAGTAGTAGTATTAGGAGTAGTAGTAGTAGCAGTAGTAGTAGTAGTCGTAGTAGTAGTAGTAGTAGTAGGAAGTAGCACACAAAATGAAAATGTTTGGACAAATCCAATGACCCACTGCAGTGTACAAAGTCAATGGTAGTAATGAATCAATGAATATTGCACCGACCAGGAAGGAAAAGATCATGAAATGCACCGGCATCCCAGCATGCCTCGGGGAATAGCACCAGCGATAAGGCAGTGGTCGCCAGCTTGTAGCAAAGGCTAGCTATCTGCGTAGTCCTGGGCTTCGGGTTCTGGGCAAAACGTGGTGGCACTTGCAAGTACTTCTTAGTCCGGATTTCAGATGGTTCTGAATCCAATGTCGCCAGGTCAATATCAATATCACGATCTGAAGAGTGTCAGTGTGGCTCAGCAGCCATTTTTCCTTGAATAATGATTATCCACATCCTCTATGCGGCATCTGGTTCACAGGAAAACCGCCGCCATTCGATGTACATGAACCGCCTGCAAACTTTCGGGGTGAGCCCGAGGCACGTTGCGCTGACGCGGCCCTGCAGGGTGAAGACCAGCAGGCCTCAGAACGATTTCTTGCATAGGCCGTGGCTGTCTGTATGAATTTGTACATTCAGTGTCAGAGAATTTCGGAGAAACGCAGGAAAGTAGCCAATCACAAAGGGAACATCACTTCGCAAAAGTGCAGGTGCAGACTACTCGCGCGAGGCGCGGCCGGTACGAAGCTGATTTGAACACTGACATCATGCCGGTGTGGGCCGGGCAGGAAGGAGTCCAGCGCAACATGACAAGTCAGGCCGGTAAGCACACAGCAAACTCGGCTGATGAGTCGATGCTCTCTGTGCGTTCAACTTGGCTGGTGCGGGCTGCCAGCCCGCACCGACTTGGTGTCCTAGGCCCTCTTCTGTTCAACTTGGCTGTTTCTCTTCTGCGGGCAACCCGCGTTGTATGTCCAACTTGACTGCTCAGCTCCTTTTCGCGGCAGGCTGCCAGCCCGCCGCACCGGCCTGGTCTGGTTCGATTCGACTTGGCTGTTAGCCCCTTAAGCGCTGTCAGCTAGCCGCCCGAGTAATCGGTTTACGTTCAATTTCGCTTCTTGCCGGTGTCCAACTTATATCTCAATCTGAGCGCGGACCTGCAGCTCACACTTGCGCACAAGATTGAGACCTTCTGAGCGACTCCTTCCGCTGTGGGAAGCCTACAGTGACCAAACAAGGAGCCGAGTTGAAGAAAGGAGGTCTTGCCATGCCCTCAGGGCAGCGTGGTACTCTCGCTGTGGTCGCAAGGCTACTAAAGCGTTTGGAAGCTTGGGGGTCCTAGCAGGGCACAACCTCTTTTTGAATTGAAGGCTTCATCTGCCCCGTATAACCCCAAAACAAACGAACACCCTAAACCATAAACGTGCCTGCTGAGTCCGAGTTGTGCGACTTCCAACAGTACATGTAACTAATGGCGCTGGCTGCCTGTGAGATGGGCATGTGCAAGCAAGCCGCAAACAGTCGCAAATTACAGGGCCCAATACCCGTCACTTTAAGGGCCCAGGGTTAGTTCCATGACTATTCAATGGGCATCGTATCTGCATCCGGCAGGCCTGCTGCAGCGCTGAAGATCGTCGAAACTGCAAGTACCTGGTGCCGCATCATCTAGTCAGTACAGAGACTTCAGAAACTTGGGTCAATCTTAGCCAAGAGTTGGTTTCCCTCCAGATGCAAGGTGTTAGACATCAGGCTGCTAGGAGAAGAGGTATGGCGCCCGAAACGGCACCGAACCCGACTCCCCGCTCCCAACCTATACCCACTACCCACCAGATCCCAGCCTTACCGGGACATTGAGTGACTGGACGGACGTACCGTCTGCGGGGTTACGATCTCTACGGTTTAGGGTTTCAGCACTCACAACTGGGACAAGCCTGGCGAGGTTTAGGGTTTACGGTTTAGGGTTTTTTTTACGGTTTAGGGTTTAGGGTTTAGGGTTGCTGCAGGGCTGTTCTGGCCGCTGAGTCACTGGTTCGGCTTCAGGCCCTTTAGGCGGTGATCAGAGGTCCAGGGCCGAGGGCTCGAGTACTGTAGGGGCCTTATAATTAGAACAAGGTTTTGGGGCCCATGATACTATAATTATAATAAGGAACCCCCGATATAGTAAAGGTAATTTATTTAGGCTCCTACAGTATTGAGATTAGAATGTCGTTTCCCATCGCTCAGAAACTGCAGAGCATAGGCGAGGAGCCATTAAACAGTAGTTGCTGGCATTCGCAATCGCAGCAACGGCGTCGGAAAAGTCTTCCATGCCTTGCCGGTGACCCAGAAAAAATGTCGGATCCATGTCTTTTCGAGGGTTCGGGATCATGGGTGCCACAACATACAGTATGACAGCTACATACTTGAGTAGTTTTGATTTGGGAATTACTTATTGCAGGAAGAATAGATTTAGAGGAAAGTTCCGCC